CAGAGTTATTAGCAAGGATGCTACATCGCCTGTCTCAGACTCATTGCCGTAGGAAGGTTCTGAGAAGATGCTAGCATGATGTGTTGTGGTTTTAGAAATACACGCACCTGGTTACAAAGACTTCCACGTCTTGCCTGCATGAAGGTTAAAACCATGAAGCTGAGGGTATCAACTTCATCTAAAAGTACTCTTACACATTGGTTTAATATCTAGGGGTGCCCTTCTGAGCCCAGAAGCAAGTACCATACTGGTAGAAGGCATTAATAATTAATTACAGTAGTAGACATGTTTCTGTTTGACCTACTCATCTGTTACCTGTGATGGATACCTGACTCCTCTGTTCCAAGACAGTGATGGAGTATCTGGTGTACAAGAGCTTGGATCAAAACAGCAGACCAGAGACTTGGCTTCTAGAAGGCAGGTGGAACAAGAGGGGAGCACGGGATGGGCAGGATTCCTTAAGAGGCGTTTAAAGTCTTGAAACCACAAATTCAGCATAGAGTCTCTCAGAAAGCTAGACTGAGAAATGCCACAGTAAGGAAAGGCTGTCCCCAAATTGTTGCCTTAAGAGTCTTTAATAATCAGAAGATGTGAGCTACCTATTCTCAGACACGGTTGCAAATAAAGAGTTGCCATTAATTAATTAGTACTAGGTTGTCAATACTGGTGAACGCCTTTTGGAATTAAGAGCCAAATCACAATTCAATTACTGAATATTAGCAATCTGAAATTCAACTTTTAATTGTAACCCCAAAGAGCTAATACATCAAATGCTAATCTGCCCTAATGCTCGAGACTAACACCTCTAATACGACATAATATATTTAAAACCTGCTGCTGCTAATATCATGCAGACTCATGCATCCATAGCCAGAAACATAACTGAAGACTGCTTCAAATACTGGGTTATCAGAAGTAGTTCAGGTTCAGTTCCTGGCTTCCCCTCACAAATATGGAAATAGCGGTCATGAGGGCCAGAGCTGCCGTATGGGTGGATGGAATACATACATTGCCAACCTGGTGTCCTGTCCCCAGATATCACCTCCAATGTCTGTAATTTCATCACGTAAGTCTGTTCTCTTGCATATAAAAGAGATCTTTTCTCGCCATTATATTTTGTATGAAAATTAAAATGCCCTTAGGAAGAAATACATCTTAGAAGTTCAACCCGCTGGCAAAATAGAGGATTAGGTTTTTGGAGATGGAAGGCTTTTAGAGGTCGTCCAAGTCTACTGATTTCCGACACGCGGAAGAAGGGGTGGAGAGAACTTTCCCAAGGTTGTATCTATCGGTGGGGCTCCGAACAGCAGCCTAATCTGGGTCTTTCTCTACAGCTCTCTGCGAGTAAATGACATCCGGGTTGCAGGAGATGACAAGGACCCAGTTCAGGGCTTGGGTGTGAGAGTGGAGGAGAAAAGACTATTTTCCAGGAAGAAAAGGACTTCTGAGAGGTAGGAGTGTGCCCGCATTTTTAGCTGCGGTTGGTTCTACAAAAATAATCAGTTGCTGTAACAAGTGAAAGAAAAAAAAAAAAGTAAAGTTTCTCCCCTGAGAAGCTTTAAGCACCGAGTAGACATGTTTCCATCTGAGCTGGAGAAAAAGGATAAACCTTCCAGTTTCCCGATGACTTTTTCAGCTCGATGTTTTTTTAATTACAACATCCTGCCTCCAATTTCTTGACATTTTCTTTACAAATCTGGTAACTTCTGCAAAACATGTTCCCCGTGAAGGCTAGGGGCAGCTGGGCACCACCAACCTCCAAAGGTCTTAAGGCTGCATGGTCACCATAGCAAGTGTGTGACCTCGGTCCAGGATCGCAGCGGAGAAGAGCGACGAGGCAATGCTCTTCTGTGGACTAAGAGTCCTTGCTCCTTGCGGCAGAAAAGCAAGAGCGCATGGACCAAAGGAGCCACCCAAGACACAACGCTAAGGCCTGCACTCCAGACCTGGAAGGACAGGCTAGAAAATTCAGGTCGGGTGCCTGGCTGTACACACGTGTCTTTCTCTGGTCTCTTGTTCTGCCACCAGCCAGCTCTGTAACTGCAGGCAAGTCACTCCACTTCCCTGGTGTTTGCTCTTCTGTGGACGAGGGAGTTGGGTTTCCCATGCAGGTACTGGGGGACCTTCTAGTGCACTCCTTTCATGATGTTAAAAGCAGTGTGGTTCAGGAGACACGTAGGCCATAAGTCAGACAGACCTGGATTCGCATGGTGGCATCACACCTATATTTAAGTGACCTTAATTCCTGATATGTCTCCTTATCTGTACCCCAAGAGCTTCATCCCCATCTCCCTAAGATTTGTCTCTCCTTTCTCTTTCTGAACACTCACTTCTCTGCAGACTTCTGCTCCATCCTCTCCAACTTCCAGAATACACCTGTACCTTCAATTCTCTAAAACGGAACCCCGTTTCTTTCCCCCTCCCTCCTTCCTTTCCTCCTCCTTTCCTTCTTTTATGTATTCTTCTGGGCCATGAAGAATTGTACAATCTAATGTGGGAATGCAGAAACAAATCACAGTGGTGCATTTTCTGGCTGAGATGTGCAAAGTCCTGATGGAGCACAGAAAGGAAGCAAATCACTCCCTGGACCAGACGCTGCTGCCGTTTGTTGCGAACCTTCTAATAACTAAGGAAGCAATACTCCAGGTCTCCAGATGATTTACATATTCATGAGGGAAAGATTTACCACGTAACGCGTGCCTCTTTCTCAGAGGGCAGAAAAGAGCAGTGACAGCAGCAGAGCCCCACGAAGGCGCACACTGCGTCTTGCAGGCGCCTTTATTTCTAACTCCTGGGCACCATGTCAGCACCTTGTTGCGCAGTCGCAGTCCGAGGCACACTCAAGGCACTGCCATGGGCGATCTGTTTGATAGAGGGGATGCCTTCTCCCTTAAGGGGAGAGTGTTCTGAAATCAGGGCTTCCCGGCTTTAATGTACATGTGATTTACCTGCAGAGTTGATTTCAGCAGGTCTGGGTGCGCCTCAATTCTGCACTTGTCAGAAGCTCCCAGGTGATGCTTCTGCTGCTGGCCTGAAGACCATCCTTGGAGGAGCATGGTCCTTGGATAGGATGCCTGTCATCTTCCTGCAGTGCTCAGGATGCTAAAATCAGAAGCCTCCTGGGAAGTACAGGGGCTAAAGAAGCCAAAGGTTGATGATGTCTGGCCAGGAGGTGAAGACCTCACTTAAGAAAATCTTGGCCCTCCGCTAGCCTTTAACCTCTCAACCAGCTGGGAGGCAGATGCCTGGCCCATCTGTACCAGTAGTCTAAGAAGAGAAAGGAGAGATCAGAGGAAAAAGAAAGGAAACAACCAAATCAAAATTCTGTGGGCTGAGCTAGCTTGCCTGGGAATGTGTTTACAGACAAGCAGCCCCACAGACCAGCTGAATCATGCTGGTTGAGTAAAGATATTTTCCCCGCAAGCCGATCAGAGTAAATCTGTTCCGAAGTGGGACCGGGAGTTTCTGTCACTCTACAGAAACATACATCAGATGAGATGATTAAATTCACAGCAGCAAGGTCCAAGCACCCAGAGGCCCCTGACTTTAGACTGCTAAGGTGCCATACCACCTCTGGGTACCTAATCTAAGAAAAAAAAATGAATTACTTCTGTTTTCAGTTCTGTCCCCCTCTCCTGCAGCCTGTGCGATGACTACCTTTGCATCATTAATAAAAACAGCCACCAGAATTTATGTAGGGTCATTCTTCCAAGGATCACAAACTTGGAGGAATGAATCAACGTTATTTGTTGAGAGTTTTCAGAGAGGAGACACGGGGAATTAAACAAACATGTATTTAGTATGTAGACTCCCTTATTCAAAAACCTTTGCAGATGACTTATATTATGAAACTTGGGGGCGGCTATACAGCTAAGTGAAACAGAAGCTGGACTTAGCATGCTTTCTGGTGTCAGGCTGCTTGGCTTCAAATCCCCACCTCTGTCACTTAACAATTGTTAGAGGCGGGATGTGTCATTTAATCCCTTTCAGTTTGCACATCTGTGAAAAAGGAGCAATACCTGTGTGGCTGTCATAGGATGCTGTGATGGTCAAATAAAGCATAGCATGTAACGGGCAGGGGTAGGCTCACAGTACATGATCAGTAAGTGGGGGTTATTTTTATCGCATTCAGTAGTTCCTATATTTAGAAGAGAAGCGAAGGAAAGGAAAAAGAAATATTTATACCACTCGCCTGCAGAAGCAAACTTCTTCCTGGAAACAGAGAAATGTATCATCCAGGCCCTTACCTAAGGGTCATTAGGTAATCTAATACAAAAGGTTTTCAATTGTAGGTTTGTGGCAGACATAGATAAGCCATTCACACAGATATTTCTTATATAGATCCTCTAAAAAAAGAAAAAGAAAAGCAGAGAATATCGTAATATGGCTCATCACCAAAACGCCTGTGCCTGGGTTAGGTCATGTGGCCCAGGTACCCAGGTTGTTTCTGATGATATAATTTATTACAGTGACAGCTTGGAGCAGCAGAGAGAATGGCTGGTTAACATGCCCATTAGACTGTCTCTTTCAAATAGCACCTCTTACGTGCACTTCTAGCAAGTACCGACTGCAGTCGATTCCTAGCTGAATTCCTTGATGGGCAACCAGGGCATAGTACTACCGTAATGCTTTTAGATACAGTCATGAGCCAGGCAGAGTTTACATTAGAAGTAGAAGACATGGATAGGCAGAAAGGTGGGGAAGCGTTCTAAGAAGTGGGAGCAGCAGAAGTCTAGACGCATATTCATAGACTCAGTTGCGAATCAGCCTAATGTTCACATTCCACGTCCATCCTCCTGCTCTTCCTTCTTTGGAAAATAACAGCTTTAGTGAGATATAATTCGCATGCCATAAAGTTCACCCCTCTAAAGTGTACAGTACAATAGTTCTTATTCCAAAAGTTGTGCATCGATCATTGCTCTCCAATGCCAGAACATTTACGTGACCCAAGAAAGAAATCCTGTATCCATTAGTAGTCACTCTCCATTCCTCCCTGACCCCCAGCCCTTGGCAACCACTAATCTCTTTTAAGTTTCTATGGATTTGCCTATTCTGAACATTACATATAAATGGAATCATACAATATGTATGATTTTCTTTTCACTTTCTTGATAGTATCTTTTGAAGCACAAAGTTTAAAATTTTGATGAAGTCCAATTTATCTTTTTTCTTTTGCTGTTTTGTTGCTACCTAAAAATCCACTGCCTAACCTAAGGTCACCTAGATTGATGCCTGTGTTTTCTTCTAAGTGTCTTATAATTTTAGCTATTACATTTAGACCTCTGATCCATTTTGAGTTAATTTTCATATATAGTGTGAGATAGGGGTCCAACTTTATTCTTTTGTATGTGGATATCCAGTTGTCCCACCACTTGTTGAAAAGATGTTTCTTCCCCCATGGATTTGTCTTGGCACGCATGTTAAAAATGGACTGACCATAAAAGTATGGCTTGATTTCTAAACCCTCAATTCTATTTGACTGGTCTGTATGTCTATCTTCATGCTGGTGTTTATTTGTAGTATCTGTAGCCTTGTGGTAAATTTGGGAGTCAGGAAACGTGTGTCCTCCAACTTTTTCTTTGTCAAGATGTTATGACTATTCTGGGGTTTTTGAGGTTCAACTTGTCATTTTCTGCAAAAAAAATGCAGCTGGAATTGAATGGGGATTGTGTCGAATCTGTAAATCAATTTGGGGAGTTATTGCCACCTTAATATTAAGTCTTCTGATCTACAAACATGGAACGCATTTCCATTTAAATCGTTAATTTCTTTTGATGGTATTTTGGAGTTTTTGGCCTTAAAAGTCTTACACTTCTTCTGCTAGATTTATTCCTAAGTATTTTATTTTTGGATGCTATTATAAATGAAATTGTTTCCTTAATTTCAGTTTTGGATTGTTCATTATTTGTGTATAGAACTACAATTGATTTTCATATATTCATCTTGTCTCCTGCAACCTTGCTGAATAAGCTCTAAAATTTTTTGGTGGATTCCTTAGAATTTTTTTATTTACAAGGGTGTAACATCTTCAAGTGTAGTTTTAGTACAGCCTTTATTCTTAATGACTCTTCTTTAGCCGGTGCATTCTTGCTCTTGCTGTCAAGACACAGTCTTGCGTTTGCTGCTTCCTACGAAGGCAAAAGGCTTTCTTTATGATCTTACCGGGAGCACTTGAGAAAACTGTTTTACTGCAGAGTCAGATTGGCTTACAGAGAAATATATCACTCACAGCACTATTTGTGGGCACACAAAGGTATCCAAAAGCTAACACACTATAAATGTGAGAATAATCGATAATCTAGACTGTTTGTTCAAAGTTCTTAGCTCATCTCCAAAGCTCTCAGCTGTCTCCAAGGCCCATTCAGCAGAAGCAGTAACTGGATCAGCCTTAAGAATGGAAACCCATGCTTAGCATTCACGCCTGTTGCCGTGACTGTCTGGTTCACGCATCCATTGTGCCAGCACCAGAGTGTCCAATGGCTTTCACCAGCTGACCAAGTCATGCTGTCTCATTGTTCAGTATCTCTTCCACAGCAGAAGTTCTCTGCTGAGCATTAACATGCAGTTCAAAAACCTTCACACTTCCCGACCACTTCCGTAGATTATCCAATATGCCTTTTCCCAGACCTCTTTGTCTCTGACTTCCCAATCTTTCTCCTTCCAGACCCTGGACCAACCAACCATGCCACTCACTACTGCCCATGAGTTTCTCTTACTCTGCCCTCAGGCCACTTCTCTTTCTACACATAGTTACTGAGCAATGGCACCTAATATCACAATTCTTCCCACCTAGAGGATGTCCCCTCAACACTGCCCATTGTTGCCACCCTATAAATAAAGCTTGGCCTTTCTACTTCCCTGTTATCTGGTTATAAAGGCCTCCCGTTAGGCTACGGATGTGAGCTGTGGGAGATACACTGACACAACTCTGATGGATGGCATTTGGCTCTGGGCCACCTGCTTGGTTAGCTTGTTAGCTCTCTAGCCCTGCTTGTTCCCATCTTGGATGCACTATATCCATCTTAGAATGGATTGCTGCTGGAAAGCCTCACCTTACGACTTGGTGGCTTTGACTGAACGCAGCTCACGATGGATACTGCGGCCACAACGTCCTTGGTCTCTCATAGTCAGAAGCTCTGTACTTACCAGGCCGACTAGCACGTCAGTCACTGAGTCCTGATGGTGATAGTCCTCTGTTGCAGATGGCAGGGACCTTACTCAGAACCCCATAGGTCTACATTGCAATTCTTCCATTGGGGCTTTCCATAAACTCTATTCACACAGATACTATCAGCCCTATAGTGTCTCCTGGTCATATGGTTCAAATGTCAAGACCACTTTACTGCAGCCTAGTCCTTCCGCTGAGCTTTCCTGCTTGAGACACTACTCAAAGTTCACAACCTTTAATATTCCCCAATACATGGGTCAGAGCAGTGTTGCCAGGTACAGAATATGGTCCCTCTAGAACCTGAAAAGGTCGAGCTTTCTTCAGAACTTTGGATCCCTAAACAGTTCAGTAATGTGCTGGGGTTCTGAAGCGTTCATCTCCACCCTCTGGAGCGCATCTGTTTTGCCAAGGCTTTCAACACAGCTGGTACTTCTTGCTTATCTGGTCCAATTAGCATAACATTGTCAATATAGTGGGCCAGTGCGATGTCCTGTGGGATGTCAGACACTTCACCTGCCTTCTAGCAATATTATACCTGAGGGTCAAAGTGTTAACATAACCTGAGACAAGACCATAATTGTATACCCTTGTCCACCTCACAAAAATATAAACTGCATCTGATCCTCTTTTCCTATAGGGATGGAAAAGAATGTACTCACCAGATCAATGGCCACATAACACGTACTGGAGGCATGCATGCTTCAGTAAAACCACATCTGGCACAGCAGCTGCACCTGGGGCCACCATTTGATTAAGTCTGCAATAATGAACCATTTGGTCACAATTCATTCCATTTTTGTATGGACCCTTCTATTAAATTGAATGGGGATTCATCACAGACCACCACCTTTGCATTCTTTACATCTCTGAAGGTAGCACTAATGTTTACTCTTCTCCCCAGGTTGCAATATTATCGTTTTATTTACTGTCTTGGCTTGGGTGAAAGTTGCAGAGGCTTCCATCCAGCTATCACTGCTATGATATTTCTTACCCCACAGATTAAGGAACAAATGCCAACTCCAAGGGTTTCTACCAAATACTGAGTATGTCATTTCCAATTATACCAGCAAATGACCATCAGGTGCATCCATGAACCCAGCAGACCCACTGCGAGCCAGACCAAGGATTCCAGAATTTCATGTGTCTTCTGCCCTGTACAGCAGCACTATATGGTGATACTCCCCAAATTGAGTTCTAGGTCCAACAAGGCTATTTGGCATATCAGGTACCACCGTCAATTCTGACTCCGTGTTTAACAATCATTGAAAAGTTTGGCTATTCCCTTTTACCAAATGCACATCACTTAAGTAAATCGCTATATAGTCCCTTAGGAGAATGACTAGAGGAATTTCAACTGAATAAACTGCTATAGAGTTGCAGGATTCTTCTTCACAGAAGCCAGCATCTCCTTCCGCCCTCGGTCTTTCAGGTCTGAGGACTGACTCAAGTCTGAGAACCTGACAAAGTAACATGAATTTTTTTTCTTTCTGAGCAGTGAAATAATTAATGCTTTATTGTATAAATCAAGACATATCAATGACAAAAAAAATAATAATCCGTACCTGACATTAGTCTAAGGTTTTTAATAGCATCTGTAAAACCCACGTGGGGAAGCTGAGACTGCAAAGTAACATGAATTTTAATTTGCGAGGCTTCCCTCTTCCTTATCATCATCCATCCTTGGTACTATTTGCTTGCGTAAACTAAGAAGTTCCCTCTTTACTTAATTATCCCCTAACTTACCTCTGGAAACACCAAGTTCCCATTAATATCTCCACAGTTCTTTGGAGGTTAGAGTCCTCCTCCAGCTCACCCCAAATGCCACTTGGGTTTTGCCACATAATGTGGTACCTACGGCCACTTCGCTTCATCACAGTAACTGCAACTACCTTGCTTCTGAGGGTTGAGTGCCAACACTTGGACCTTTATTTTTTGGAGATCTAATCAGTCTATTGGAAGCCAAATTCTAAATCAGCCTCTGCCATCATCAGCCTGGACCCCCAGAGAACAGTCACCACGGAGCTGACCCAGCTTTCACCAGCGTATTCCTTCCTGGCATGACACTTGGGGTGCCCTTCGGGCCCTCCCATGGAACATACTGAACTGGTGGGTTTCCAGCCTTACGCAGTATATGCAGTCTGGTGTGCCAAATATTTTGAAACTTTCGATCTATTCTTTCACCATCCTCCACAGCAGGTCTAGCATTTCTACTTCACGATGTGTGGATCTTGGCTTTTTCCAGATCCTAACAGCCCTTCTAGCAACAGAGTGGTGTTATCTCCTCGGTGCCTGCCAGGGTGTCAAATCATGAAAAAGAAGACTGTTCCTATACTGATAACCTCTTGGTTATCCAACCGTATGTTCTGCCCCTCTTGACCCAGGACTCCAGGTTTCAGCCCCACACACGTGCTACCAGCTACCATGAGCACACATTAGCCAGGCCTTGCAGTTCCTTTGATGTATCCCCCTCCTCCTTCCATAGCAGGCTCAGCCTTTGTCTAGCCTGCTTTACTGAGATTCAATCTTCCTTATTGGATTGGTTGCCAAGAGGGGTGGTGTGAGGATCCTAAAGCAGCCAAGCGTTGTCTTACAAAGTACATGCCTCATTTGAGGTCTCTGCACCATCTTCAAGCAAGGGCTGGGACACTATCTTCTAACGGAGGGGCGGACTTCTGAAGGCCCAGCAAGTCAAGGTCCTTAACGGCATCCACTCGGCCCATTGCAAGTGCCAGCATCCTGTTCCTTCCCCATTAGTGCCCTGTGCTTGCCACAGGGACTTACAGAGGCTGAGAATTCAATCCTACCTGAAGCTCTACCACTTTAATGATTAAGTCCTGGGCCTAGCTTTCTATTCTCTTGGTATGTACTTTGGTTGCAGGAGACCAGGGTTTCCCTAAATGCTGTTAGGAGGCCCTCCAGCTTCATATTCTGTCTTGAAATGGTGATTAATCATCTGAGCCTGTCATTATTTATCTTTCAGAAATCAATGGTGCTCAGCAACAGCCACCCAATTCCATGGTCCTTATAATTACATTTCCTTTATCCCTTCAATCATGAGAAATACTGCACCAGGGCATGTATCATCCCCTTCTACAGATAACCCATATCAGTCTACTGCTGGTGACTGTTTCAACAATTGCACAGAAACTTCCCGAATTTTAACAACTTCACTGCTACAGCATCTCAGGGGCAAGCTCTCTCTACCTACTATGAGTGATGGGGTTGGCATTGCCAGACAGCCAATGACTGACCCAACTCCAAAATCCCCTTTCAAAAGCTTCCTAAAACCACTTTCTGTGTCAGTGAATTCTTAGATGAGAAGTTGCATGCAGAAGCTTTAATGGGGTGAGTTCCTGAGGGGGACACAGGTAAGGAAGTGAAGACGGAAAGTCTGGGCAGAAGCAGCAGCTGACTTGTAATGAAGTTGTAACAGAGACCTAAGCAGACTCTATGGGGAGTTTTGGAGCTCGAATGGGCCTTCAGAGCTATGCCAGATTGAGATAAGAGAGCTAGCCTTTAATATCTCCAAGCAGGCCATCATTAGCCATAGACTCTGTGGAAGGTGTTACGCATGGGAGGAGGCATAACTGTGGTCAAGGCAGTTCCGAGTGAGAGGCGTAGCTGTGAACTGTGAGCAGTCAGCAGTCAGTGTTCCAAGAACCCAGGGGGCATGTGCATCAACCCTAAGGGGGCATGTGCCACATAACAGCATCTGTTACAAAGACCATCTCTGTTATCAGGACCACTGCCTGCCTTTCACAGTGTCTTACCAGACAGGAATCTCCACACCTGTGCAGATATAGTTTGCTTATTCTGGACATTCAGGGTTGCATTTTAAAGCAAAAAGAAAACAGCACCACAAAAGATCTGCTAAGCTTGGCTGGCAAATGGGGGCCATGAGTGACCATGTTAGGTATTTTCAACATAAGCATTTTTGCTGCAAACATTTTCATCACATACCTAATTGGCCATAAGCCAATTTTGCCACGAAAGATAAAATAACAAAAATTAAAGGAGGACATAATGAAACACAAAAAAAGGCATCACAAAACTAGGAAGACTCTATTGCAAAATACAAAATCTTTGAATACATTTTAAATGGGTGTAGATTCGTGGCAATGCTGCGCAGACAACTGATTTTACTTTGTGTATCGTACCTAAGCACTTGACTTCCAAGTCTTTCATTCATGGCTTTATGTATTTATTTGCTTGTTGATTTGTCTCCTTGCTCAGCATTGTGGCTTTTCTTTTTTGCTTAAATTTCTTCCTTCATTAAAAGAGGTATCAGTTTCCAAATACTAGGATACATGTTTGTAACCAAGCTTTGTATCGTGCTGGGAAAGCCTCTGCACTGTTGTCTGTCCTTTGCATTTTGTCACTTGTCCCTTCATGGACCTTCCAAAGTTCTAAGGGAAATGTGGGTTCAACTCTGTGCCTTCGAGGCCCTTGGCTTCTTTCTCCTCCAATGTAGTGTGTTTCCAAATAAGTAATCAACTCTTGGGGTGAATCACTGTCATCTGACAGCTGGATAAAGCCATCAAAAAAGTCACTAACTAGAAGAAAGTCTAATTCATTTCAACCAGTGGAAACCAAACTGTCAAACTAAAAACTATCGACCGGTTATTTTATCTTTCATGGCAAAAATGCTTTATAGCCAATTAATTACACAGTAAAAATGTTTGTGGCAAAGATATTTACAGAGAAAGTACCTAGACCCATGGATGACAATGTGGTGCCAATTAGTCACGCGATAGCCCTCCACTCTGGTGGCACTCAGGTGGCAGCACCTTTATTTGGCTTAGAAACTGATGAAATAGGTTTGGAGTACAGAGAGAAAATTTAGTTTGGCATTACAACTTCTTCACCATGACATTATGCTGATTAATGATCACCTTGAAACTTCAGAGCTTCACCCTCTAATTAATGTTGCCCCTTTCCTGCAGTCTCCTGACTCTCAAACCTCCAGGGTCAAGTCAGAGCCCAAAACAGTCCATCTTATTCTTATCATAGAGAGAGAGGAAAAAAAGAGAGAGAGAAAAACAGAGAGAGAGAACGACTGTGGCAAAGATCAACTAGATGTTCAGCAAGCATTTTTCCTATTTTTCCTTCACACAGAGATAGTCTGTATATGCCAGCCTCCTGAAGTTAAGTGCATGTGCCTGACCTCTGGACAAAGGAACTGGGCAGAGATGATGTGCCTCCTCCCCACGCCTGGCCCATGGACGCTCCCAAATGCAATTCTCCTTTTCCTTTTCTCTCTTCTGAGAAGATAGGAAAGGGTTCTGAGGACTGAAGGTTAGAGCCAGGAGACGTAAGGTATGAGGGCCCTTGCACATCTGCTTGGAAGAAAGCTTTCCAGGAGAGCTGCTCCTCTAAATCAGACTGTTACACAATCACTTGTGTTATCCCAGGAGGATTTGGGGGCTGTTTGTTACAACAGTTGGCTTATGCTGACTAATACAGAGATAAGCAAATTAATGTGCGTCAGAGGGAACCCAAGGGAACCTGGACTGTAGTCCTCTCCAATTCTAGGCATTAATTACTTGGTAACTTTTGAAAATTCTCAGCACCCTCCCAATGACTTCAGCTGACCAAAATTATCATTTTGAACAAATATACATCTGAAAGTTACCTTGGTGGAAAGATGAGGTAGGCATGATCAGAAGGGTCTTAATGCAGCTAAGGTTTACTTGTAGCCTCTGTCTTACTCTTTGGACACCCCATGTGGAGATGGAGTTCTCATGGAGTAGAAAATGG